GGAAAGTGACCCTTAGTGTTCCAGGACCTGGGAGAAACAAATCCTCACTGCACGGGTGCACCTGCAACCTGGGTCTCAAAGGATCCCATAGATGAGAGTTTTCCAAAGCTAAACATAAGCATCCATTACAACTTATAATACACCTGAGAAAATAAGCAATCACCAGTGGGCCAAAGAAAGCAGGTATGGTGGCACATACCTGCACTCAGGAGGTAATAGTGTGTTCAAGGCCAGCCTGAGCTATCCAGTGACAGTGTCTCACCCCCTCAACCCCCCAAAAAAACTATAAACAGTAGAATAATGATGCCCATATGGACTTATCTGTCATCCCAGCACTCGAGAGGCTGAGGCAAGATTGCCCCAAGTTTGAGGCTACCCTGGGCTACATAGTGAATGCAAAGCCAGCCTGAACTACATAGTGAGACCCTGTATCAAAAAAAACCCAAAACAAGTTGGGTGTGTTGGTGCACGCCTGTAAACCCAACACTCAGGAGGCTGAGGCAGGAGGATAGTTATGAGTTCAAGGCCAGCCTGGGCTACAGAGTGAGCTCAAGGCCAGCCTGAACTGCGTGGTGAAACCCTGTCTCAAAAAGACAAAAAAAACAAAACAAAACAAAACAAAACTAATCAACAACAAAAACTATATAAACACATTAACTACATACTTTTTTTTCCTTTTCCTTTTTTTTGTGTTTTAATGTGCTAGGAATTGAACTCACAACTTGCACTTGCCCAGCAGGAGCTGTGCCACTGAGCTACATCCCCAGCCCCACATTTTTTTTTTCTTGGTAGTGGGGATGGAACCCAGAGAGGGTGCTCTATGACTGAGCTATATTCCAGGCCTTTTTATTTGAGACAGGATCTTGCTAAATTGCCCAGAAAACAAAACAAAACAAAACAAAACAAAACAAAACAAAACACTGCTCAGGTAGGACTAGAACTTGCAATCCTCCTGCCTCAGGCTCCCTCAGTGCTGGGGTTACAGATGCGGGCCACCACATCAGCTTCACATATGTTCTTAAGAAATTAAACAGTACCACTGTATTATCTATCTAACCATGTTACAAAATATCGTCATCAATAGTACTGAATTTTAACGGGACATACACATCATTTCACTCAATGCCATATTCTGAATACCATAGTGCAAGAAATGCTTGTGAAAAATGGAATTCTTTCTTTTAAGAAAACACAAAACCAGTATGAAGAAACTAGACTGGATTAAAATTGTGGTTATGTTAAAGATCTCTAATATGTGTGAGCCTTGTGGCACTAGGTTGCCTTTTCTAGTATTTAAATCACAAGCAACCACCCCCCCCCAAAAAAGCTCTGTTATGATTAGTCAAGCTGTACATGTCAAACTGTTATTTCCATAAAAATACCAAAGTGCTTTAGGAAAATAAACAATGACACCGTATATAAACATGTATCATAAAAAAATAAAAACAAAACAAAAAGTAAACATGTATCACATCCCATTACCCTAAATACAACAAACAAGGGCAACATACCCTGGCTTGTTTTGGAACATGCCTGCCCTAAAGTTTGATTCACTGATTGATTGATTGATTGATTGAGAGAAGCAGGGTCTTGCTAAGTCCCAGCAATAGTCCTGCCTCAGCCTCCCACAGTGCTGGAATTGTACACCTGTACAACTACACTTGGCTTAAAGTTTCATTTTTTAATTAGGTGTAGAGTACTTTATTTTCTACCAAGTATAATAGTAAACCAAATCCTTTGTTTAATAACAAAGCACTTGAAGCTGGGTGTAGGGGTGCACACCTGTGATCCCAGCACTTGGGAGGCTGAGGCAGGAGGATCTTGTGAGTTTGAGATAAGCCTGGGCTACAAAGTGAGCTTAAGTCCAGCCTGAACTACATAGTGAGACCCTGCCTTAAAAAAGACCAAAAAAGAAAAAAAAAAAAAAAAAAAAAAAAAAAACCCAAAATAAAATTACAGTCTGCATTGTCTTCCTGACATTCAGTACTAAACCTGTGCTAAATCTTAGTATTCAGTTTTATCAAACCCTTTACCGATTTACACATTTGGAAGAAACACTATGAAAAGTAAAAGGAGGGTCCCGAGAAGCAGCTGCCACAACAGCCACCTCCGAAGGTGGGGGATTTCTATGACCCCAAGCACCCGAATGAAGAAAATGAAGCCTAGCCAACAAGATGAAAAGTGGTGTGACAGCAAGCTCTACGAGGAAGTGTTCCTAGGCTAGTGTTCGTATGCTGGAGAGAGAAAGGAAGCAGAGTACTTGGTTAAAGTACTTGCATTTCAGAACCACATACCCAGATTTGAATACTAGTTTAACCTTGGACAAGTGACTTCATCTCTCTGAAGTTTTCTCATCTTTGAAATAGTTATCCTAACGGTAGCAACACTTGGGTGTTGGTTATATGTTGGTTTCTGTGTGGGGTGACAGGTCCCGAGAATGAGGTGCGGCCAATGAAAAGAAAAACAAGAGACAAAGTTATGGGATCAGGGGAGCTACAGCCTCTAGCACTGAAGACTCGATTATAATTTTCTTTAGCCTTTTATTGGGATTCACACAAAAAGCAGGAACAGGGGAAATGGGAGGAATCATTAACAGGGTTATCGAGGGCAATACAGCTTCATTATCACAAGAATGCAGCTTTGACTTAGCCATCACGTTATCACTCCTTTGGACATATCTCAGTAAAGCATCTAGTGTTGTCCCAGCAGCTTTTCACACAGACTGAGGTCCTGCATTAATTGCCTTATTGCACTAGCACTTTTGCTGTACTTCCTCCGGAATCAAACAATCTCATAGCTTGGTCAGGTCAGGCTCAAAGTCCCACATAGGTAATACATTTTTTTTCCCATAGGTAATACATTGAAAGGTAAACTACACAATGTCCTTCTCCACATTCCCCCTTTTGTTTTGCTGCAATCCTTTGAAGTACTAATGAGAAGGCTGGCATTTGTCTTTTTGGTGTTTTTGGATGAGGGTCACCAGACTACAAAAAGGATCAAGCAAATGCCATATAAAATGACCACAGATGTTTGGAAAAACTGTAATTGTTTTAAAGGATTCAAATGTTTTATTTCTTTATGCACATTGTAGTTTGTTGTTAAATGTCTCAAATATTTTTTTCTGTAAATTTTTAATCTCAAAAGATAAATTTCTCTGATTCATTAAATGTTTTTTGACATTTTCCCAAGGGAAAAGTGTATTATTATAGCAATGAGGAGTACCACAAAAATAAGAGCTATTCCAATCACATTTAAGCCAAAACTGTTTTTGTAAACTAACTGATCTCCCAATACCACTGCTTGTTGCAAGTCTATTTGAGTTGCCAATTTTTCATCTACAGAATGTTGAGTTTGCTATAATCTATCAGAATTTTCATGCCATGTTGAGTTGTTTGCACTGACTGATGAAGGGCTACTCCAGTTTCTGCTGCAGTAGCTGTAATGCTAATAATTCCTAATACAATGCAGTATCATTTTAGGGCTCCAGGAGGGTCCAACTCTCTTACAAAATTTAAGATTCTCTGGGTTCAGACAAAGGAGTTCCCTGGGGTCTCGATATGTAGTGTAGGCTGGCCTCAAACTCACAGCCATCTTCCTACCTCAGCCTCTCAAGTGCAGGGAGCAAAGAGGATCTAGAGCTAGTTTATCTTATTTCTGCTCAGAACGATCTCATTTTTATAACTGATCAAATTCCCCTTATCAAGAGAGGACACACTATTCTCAGCCATATACAGATAACAGGGGATGAGAGAGTTCCAGCTCTGAAGATGAATGTAAGAAGACATACTCAGAGTGCACCTCATCTCATTCCTCCTCGTACAGAGACCTGAGAAATCATCCCATTCTAAATCTGATTGGGACTGTAGCCTGAGACCTCTTATTTAGAGGCAGAAGAGGAAAGTATTCTTCCAAACTAGACAGGTAATACAAAAGGACTTCAAAAAATGAAGCAATATAAAGATGTTGTCCTCCTTCTAGTGACCTAGGATTCTGATGGGGTACTCATATTCCAAGCACAATTAGAGTGCTTCCCATTATAAATCTGCCCTTTCAAAGTTTACACCCAAGTCTGACAAACTTGAAAATTCTGGGGCTGGGGATTTAGCTCAGCGGCACAGCGCCTGCCTGGCAAGCACTGAGTTCAATTTCTGGTACCGGAAGAAAAACAAAAACAAAACAAAAACAAAAAACAAAAAAAAATTTAGAAAATTCTTTCTGTTATACAGAACTAAGTGAAAGCAAAAAAAAAAAAGAGGAAAAGGAAAATGAAAGTGCTTTAATAATCAATTTTAATAAACTCCAAGTAAATGGCTTTAATAATCACATGAAAATAAGGTTTAAACAAGCCTGATCTTCATGCAAATAATTTTATTCCTACTTATGCTTTTCTCAATTTTTACTTTCAATTGAAAGGTTTCTATTCAAAAAATGTGACTAATTTGTCAGTAATGTATAATGAACTCATTTTTCTACCCCAAATAAAGATAGTCATTCTCACAAAGTAAATATGAATTTAACAGAATTAAGCATTCTCTATTAGCACCTGATGCTTCAAAATTACCAAAGCTCTAAAGCTCTAAATTACCAAAGTTCTATTATTTAACCAAAAGATTAAATAACAGAACACTAATTTTTTTTTTGAGACAGGATCTTGAAGTTCAGGCTGGCCTTGAACTCACAGCAATCCTCCTACCTCAGCCTCCCCAAGTGCCGGGCTTATAAGTATGCACCACCAAACCCAGCATGGAACACTAAATTTTTGCTTCATTTTATCTTTTTGAGACAGGGTCTCACTATGCAGTTCAGGCTGGCCCTGGGCTCACTTTGTAGCCCAGGCTGGTCTTGAACTCACAAGGATCCTTCTGCCTCAGCCTCCCGAGTGCTGGGATTACAGGTGTGTGCCACCATGCCTGGTCTAAATTTTTGAATTAGTTGAGCATGATCCAAAATATCTTCTGGTAAATATAATTTTAGTTATAAATGAAGACAAAAGACAAAAGTTAATTCTGGAAGAACACTTCTATTTACAAAGGAATAGGTCTTAGTTTTATTAAAAAGTTTGCAGCATAAAAATTACAGAGAAACATTCCCATATTTGAAAAGAGCTACAAGAATCAAAGTAGAACACAGGATTGTAACAAGCAGAGTCACTGAACATACTAAAGAGGTATGTACAGTCAATCCCACTGGAACTCCTAGGGTCACATTTTTATGTATCTGTGGAAAGAGAGGGACAGAAAATTAAAGACATTTAAAATGCATCACATTCTTCTCAGGTAAGACCACTGTTTCTTTGATTTTAAATTTATCTCTTGCTTTTTTCTTTCAAATATTTCCATCAGTGCTAGATTATATATGACATTATTGTCTGAATGACTTTTAGATCCAATATTTCACTTAATGTTACAGATCAGACTCGATTCCACAATAACTTGTAAGTTCACATTAGTTCTAACTTTTCCCACTTTTTAGATAGAGTTGAATATACAATTTTTTTTTTAAAAAAAGCTATATCCTGACATCACCCTCAGGAACAGTATAAACATGTTCTTCCTCTTCCTCTGTTTCACATTAGAATACAGAATTCTTTTTTTTGTCTTTTTTTTGTTTTTGTTTTTGTTTCGTTTTTTTGAGACAGGGTCTCTCTATGCAGTTCAGGCTGGCCTTGAGCTCACTTTGCAGCCCAGGCTGGTCTCAAACTTCAAACTCACAACGACCCTCCTGCCTCAGCCCCCCGCCCCTCCCCGTGCTGGGATTGCAGGCATGCACCAGCTGGGCTACGAAGTGAGCTCAAGGCCAGCCTGAATTGCATAGCGAGACCCTGTCTCAAAAAGATATACATACATACATATATACATAAATGTAAAGTACTTATCCTATTTTGTGGCTTCTCTCCCATACATTTGTTATTTACATTTTGTACAGCTAAACTGAATGTGTCCTTTAGTGTGGCTAGCAATGCATAAAGAAATTCATTTAGAAACCTAGGGAAAGTTTATAGTCTTTTTTTGGGGGGGGTCTTTTTGAGACAGGGTCTCGCTATGCAGTTCAGGCTGGCCTTGAGCTCACTTTGTAGCCCAGGATGGCCTTGAACTCACAGCAATCCTCCTGCTTCAGACTCTCAAGTGCTGGGATTACAGGTGTGCGCCACCATACCTGGCTAAATTTATAGTTTAAAAATATACAATGTTTTGCAAACATTAAAACTTTAGACAATTTGGAAATACTTTCATTTTTGGTTGCTGTTTATAATTAGTTGTATTGACTTCACACATATACACCCACCCACACCTACACACACACACAAAGTTACCAAACCAATCTGTAAAAAATTGTATCTGAAGCTGGGCACGGTGGTGCACACTTGTGATCTCTGCACTTGGGAGGCTGAAGCAGGAGGATCTCTGTGAGTTCTACGCTAGCCTGGGCTACATAAGATCAAGGGTAGCCTGAATTACATAGTGAGACTACATCTCAAAAAAAAAAATTGTATCTGAAAAATCATCTTTCAAAAAATGACATCGTAAGCAAAACTTAGTTTATAATACCACCTAATTAACGGCATAATACCTATTGTTCTGAGATACACAAAAAGATATATTTCAAAGACAAAAAAAGTGCTTAATTATGACCGCTTAGCTTAAGTTACATGGTCTTAAGGGAACCACAATCAAAATGTTTTAATACTGTATTTATTTTGTAGCAAAGCAAACTACTAATATTTTTGTTTTGAGACAACCCAGATATTTTTTAAAATCAAAAAATAGCAAATAAACACTAAGCATAAGCTTCACTCATACAAAAAATCAAATACATTTCTCCAGATGTAAATCAGAGTTTAAAAAGTTTAGGTCCCAGATGGAATTGGCAATTTACTCAAAAGCAATTCTACACTAAGACAGCAGTCACATCCATTCAAAGAAAGTTCTCCAGTACAAAATAGCTGTGCTTAGTAGTAAGCCTTTAGTATCAGGAGTTCTCCTAGCTAATCTGGTAGATAAACTAAGCAACGACAAGGAAATTACTTCAAATTTCAATACCCAGAATAGTATATATGAATAACACTGCCTCATGGTTATCTGATTAACAGTTATGGTGTCTGCTGCTTTACATTTTAAATCTATTTTATTTTTGTTGCACTCATTTTCAGGCCACAAAGCAGGCCTGAAAGAGAATAAGAAATGAAGAGAAATAAAGAATAATATGAGCATCAGTTAAAAAGTAGCTCCTAAGAGGGGAATAAAAGGAGAGACAGCACTACGAAGAGAGAAGAAAGCAGACTGCTCACCAAACTAGGCAACTGTAAACTCACAAGACAAAGCCAATAATGCCCAGCTTAATAACTGAAAACAAGTTGCAGAGATAAAAACTACAAAAATAGTATAAAATAGTCTCAACTTGGATATAAAATAGTAATACAACTGTCTAAAAACTTTATCATAGTTGAAATATTAGTACTCTGGGTGTTATTTTCCTTTTACTATTTGCTCTGCGTAGCATAAAGATAACTAATTTTCTTGTTAAAAATTAATAAAAAGTTATAAATAAAAATAAAGTTTTTGGGCTGGGCATGGTGGTAACATGCCTGTAATCCCAGCACTCGGGAGGCTGAGGCAGGAGGATCGCTGTGAGTTCGAGATCAGCCTGGCCTACAAAGTGAACTCAAGGTAGCCTGAACTGCATAGCAAGGCTCTATCTCAAGAAGACAAAAAAAGGAAGGAAGGAAGGAAGGAAGGAAGGAAGGAAGGAAGGAAGGAAGGAAGGAAGGGAAAAGAGAAAAGAAAAGAAAAAAGGAAGGAAGGAAGGAAAGAAAGTTAGTTAGTTTTCAGAGCCAGGGATATAGCTCAGTGGCACAGCATCTGCCTGCCAAATGCAAGGTCCTGAGTTCAATTCCTGGCACACAAAAAAATAAAATTTTTCTGCTAGGTGTGGTGGTGCACTCCTGTAATCCCAGCATTCAGGAGGCTGAGGCAGGAGGATCACCACGAGTTAGAGGCCAGCCTGGGTTATACAATGAGTCCAAGGCCAACCTGAACTACAAAGAAAGACCCTGTCTCAAAACAAAATAAAATTGTAACAGAAAATGCATCCCCCAGCCAATATACTTCAGTTTGTTAGTTGCTCAGGTAATAGTTCCTGTTCCAGATCCAGTTGCTCCTGTCTCTTAGAAATGGCTGGTTACTGTGATGCATAACTAGTCACTATGATGCACAGTATATAAACCAATACCCAATTGACAAGCCATTCTGCCTCTGTCCTTCCTGCTTGCTTATCCAATATAAGCCCTAGACCAGCAGAGATGAGGGCCTGATACTCTGGAAATGATCCCTATCAGTGCCCGTTGATGTTGACGTAAATAAATCTGCCTCCAAATCCTGGGTGTCGTTTTGGTATTTCTGCTGCCATTGCAAAACAAGGCTTTCCTGGTAAAAGAAAAGCAGTTGAACTGGCCACTACTTCTCTCTGCCACTGCATACCTTTCAGTAGCACACCAGCTACACAGTACTTCTGCTGGGAACCACGGAGACACAGGACTGGCCCTAGATCACCACCTCCCAGCCGAATGGTTCTGACTTCACCCAAAGGAGGAGTCAGCGTTGCCAACAATAGCAAAGAAAGCGTATTAAAGACAAACAAAAAGCAGCTTTCAATGTTAGGAGGATAAAATGTTAACTTCTTAGATGTAGAAGAAATATAGACGTTTAAATGAGGGAGCGCTGAGACAGTGTAAGATCGGCTCACTTGTCTGTACTTCAGGCTGCTCCACTGGCAGATGTCCTGACTCTTCAGAGCACAAGGAGCTGCCGCCTCTGCCTGGGCCCAGCATTTCAACACCTGGAACTCTGAGAGAAGCAGAAGAACACGTTATTAGAAAATCTGTATTTGGACTCAGGACTAGGCTCGTATTGAGCCTCCACACAAGTTTTAAGGGCCGGGCATGGTAGCACACGCCTGTAATCCCAGCACGTGGGAGGCTGAAGCAGGAGAATCGATATGAATTTCAGGCCAGCCTGGGCTACAAAGTGAGCTCAAGGCTAGCCTGAATTGCATAGCGAGACCCTGTCTCAAAAAGAGAAAAACAAAACAAAACAAAACAAAAAAAACACAAGGTTTAAGTGCTGGGATAAGAGTAATCAAACATTTGAACACACATTATATATGACTTGGATCCATCCATCATGTGCTGTTAGTTTACTATTCTTTTTTTATATGAAGCCTAAGAAATTAAAATTGTAATATTACAAGAGGCCAGATGTGGTGGCACACAGGGCATGGCGGTACACAGCTGTAATCTCAGAACTCGGAAGGCTGAGACAGGAGGATCACTGCAAGTTCGAAGCCAGCCTGGGCTACATAATGAATTCAAGGTCAGCCTGCACTACATAGTGAGACACTGTCTCAAAAATAAATAAATAAATAAATACAATAAAAATATTACAGAGGTTGAACATGACTTCTTAAATTCCATTAAAAATTTAAAACTTGTTTACTTTCCATTACTGGGGATTGAATGCTGGGCCTCACACACTCACCAGGCAAGCACTCTACCACTGAGCTACTCCCTACTCCCTAGTCCTTTCTCTTATTTATTTATTTATTACCTTTCTCTTTTATTTTTTAATTTTGAGATAATGGTCTCAATTTAAGTCACTAATTGCCCAAGTTAGACTCAAATTTGCAATCCTCTTGTCACAGTCTCTGCAAATGCTGGGATTATAGGCATGTGTCACTATGCCTAGCTCTGAGCCCTTTATTTTGAGATAGGGTGTCATTAAAGCATTCCAGGCTGGCCTCAAATTTGCAGTCCTCCTGCTTCAGGCTCCTGAGTACCTGGATTACAGATATGTGCCACTACACTGGTCTTTTTTGTATGTATAACA